CGAAAGGCATAACTGATATTACTCATCGTTTGGGGTACCAACATTGGTCGCCCATTAAACATTTCACTTGATAATGATCTTTCCAGCTTTCAGTCATGATTTTAAATGTTTGCTCGTTATTAATTTGAAATTTAATGTTTATATGTAAATTATAATAATGACGGTCTAATTTTTATTGCAAAAGATTGCGTTATTAAATTTATTCATAAAAATGGCATAAGAAAAGCTTGATTAAACTCCGGTATCTGTTCACGATACTCTAATTTCAATCTCCATACTCGCCCCAGTTGAGATTATAGCGGGAAGGATCTTCATCTTCCCTATAAGTCCAATCCTTAATAGAATCAACCGTGATTAGAAAGTCTGGATGGTTCTCATTCCACCATGCAACAAATCTTTCAGGAGTAGTAAGCCCTTTCGTCTTGAGGTCGAACATGTATTTGGGGTCGGGAAATATATGGATTTCCTCGTATGTTCTCTTGAGAGAACCTTAATTTTGAAATTAAATGTGATAGTTAGCTTGGCAGTCTCAAAGAAGCTTACTGAATCAGAGTTGATCAGATACTAGTGATCTCAGCCGATAATCAAAAAATCGATTTTGCAAAATCAGCTTGTCGATTTTGTGAGGTTATATAATAACTACTACATCGATTAAGTTTAGTATTGTATCTCTCAAAGAAACCTTTCTTATATTTCACAGCACAACAGCCAATTTTCCAGCAACAATTTTAATTTAATCAGTGCGATGTATTCACTATTTAATTCGCATTACTTTAGTCAAGCTCATTAATTTATTTCCAACTGTTTCCATAAGTTCTAGAACTTAAAATTGTCGATAACTGAATTGAATCTACCAACGTCAGTTTCTAGCTCAGTAACTTATCGATTTTGTCATTGGAAAATTTTTCAGCTACTCCAGAATTTATGAAAACAACTGTAATAAAGAATAAAATTTAAAATAGGTTTATTAATATATCGTTCTACCAGACTAAGCCGACTAAGCCGATAAAATTTTATCGGCTTAGCCAGTCGACAAATTTTAACCGGCTGGGATCATATCAGATACAGTACGGAGGTGGAATTCAATTGTCATCGCTAAAGACTCTTCAGAGTCACTAAAATCGTCAGGCGACAAATCATCTAAAAATCAAAATCTAGTGGCTTCAGTATTTAATAACACTTGAAAAAAAAATGTGTTGTACTCTCAATACCTTGTATTTGATTCTTGTTAGTTGAGTCCGTAGAGTTATTTCCTTCCAAAGAAGGGTTTTGATCAGTTTCAACAGATGTATTTTGAGCGCTCATTTTCACGTACGAGTGATTTGTATAAGAGATCTATATAATTCTACAAAATGATAAGCGTATACATTATTTTGGTGGAACGATAACCCGGTAGACGGGTAAATTTTTTATATTTTGGACCGAATCTTATCTGTCAAAATACTTGGTAACCACTCAATTTGGTATGCCAATCCCAATATTTAGGGGTTAATATTTTATCGAACTTGGTCATGTTACTGTTTTATATGATTGCAAATAGATGTAAGTAATAGTCAACATAAATTAGCCCCGTAAAAAAATATCACATGAAGCGTGAGCAAATATAGGGTGGTCTCAGAGAGACCCCAGGCTATACAGTTATCTCAATTTCGCGCTGTTCACATTTAATAAAATAAGATCCAGCTTTATATCTACCTTCTAT